CCTTGTGATCCAGATTGTGGATACAAGAGGTCCTTGTGTGAGATATTTATTCTCGATAGGACTTAAAATATTGTAAATCCAAGAGGATTGTTCTTGGTTGTTAGGATTGTCTTGTGTAGAAATCTAACATTGATAGTGAAATTCTCTTTCATGTTGAAAGGGGAGTGGAGTACTCTCGGATTGTGAGGGGAACCACTATAATTCTCCGTGTTCTTTGTCTTTCTGCTTTTACTGCTTTCATCACCAACATTCTTAAAGAAGAAAAATTCAAGAGGTTTGAAAAACCGGAAAAAGTTTCTAAAGCCTAATTCACCCCCCCCCCCCCTCTTAGGCATACTCTGTACTTACACCCCCAAGTGAAAATGAGATGGTTTGCTTAAATAGAAGATAACTTTGGAGTAGCCTAGATTTGGAGTTTGCTTTGGAGCTAGCTTTGGAGTTAGTTACATCTAACTTACTGAGTCGAAAGTTGACTCAATTATTTATTAACTCGGTAGGAGCATCTGAATGCAAGTCCAAAATTCAATGGTTCACATGCTTGTAAATGAAGTTACATGGTGGTCTTAATTGGAAATCATGTATTGTAGCAAATGCAATTGAATTTTTGAAGTGTCTAGAATATTCTACATGACACTAGAACCAAGTAAACCCCAAAGAAGTAGAAGAAAAAGTTGTTGTCATGATAATGCAGCAAAATCTGCCAAAATGCATGTGTTAATCGATTAACACATTTTGCCTAGCAAATGGTTAATCGATTAACACAACCAAAACTTGCCTAATTTGCTTGAAAAAGGGTGTTATGGTCATGGTTCTGATCTTTGACTCTTTGCTTTGATAAATAGACATGGAAATCCTTGTGTTTTACTTGTATTGATAGTGTGATGACTTTGTGAGAATGCGATTAATCAGGGCTTCAAAAAATTTTGAACTTTTGAATATTCCTATAAAACAAACACAGAGAAAAAAATGCTAATGTGTATGTCAGCAACGCGAATGCACATGCTCATGCAAAAGGAAAAAAAAGGAGGTCAAATTTCGGGTTACGACATGATGACTGCCAGGATTTCTATGTGGAGGAAGGGATGAGCAGCTTGTGCTCATCATCCCGGGTCAACTGCCCCGCATTCGCCGAAAAGCCGAAGATTTGCCCGTTACGAATGACAGAACATTTCTATGAGGTACCCGGGATCAGTTGGCCACAGGTGAGGAGCACGTGGGGAATGTGCTCTCCAACGACTATAATGGATTGGGCATTTGCGCTGGGTCTTCTTCGACGTGAAGTTAGACTTGGATGTGTCCGACGGTGGGTCAGTCTCAGACCTAGTCCAGAACAAATACAATTCAAAGGCTATGATTTAAAGTAAGTTAAAAAACTTACTCTTGGAGTAAATTGATCCCCACTCATATTTTATATATATATATATATATATATATATATATATATATATATATATATATATATATATATATATATATATATATATATATATATATATATATATATATATATATATATATATATATATATATATATATATATATATATATATATATATATATATATATATATATATATATATATATATATATATATATATATATATATATATATATATATATATATATATATATATATATATATATATATATATATATATATATATATATATATATATATATATATATATATATATATATATATATATATATATATATATATATATATATATATATATATATATATATATATATATATATATATATATATATATATATATATATATATATATATAATTGCATTAAAGCCTATATTTAATTTCCTCAGGAAAAATAAAACTTATATTTAGAAGAGAATATATTTAGAAGAGAATACAAAGACAACTAATGATTAGGAGGGAGAATCATTGTAAAAAAATAGCCTTAGTAATGTTAAGTAACGTTTGCACCGTTAACCTTTTTAAAAATATCTGTTTTAAAAAAGTCTATGTGACACACATGGAGCACATGTGACATTTAACAGCGATGATGTGTCATTTTTTTTAATTCCACGTGAATTTTTATTTTATTATTTTATTTTATTTTATTTTTACTGGAAGGACCTGATTGTTACATTTTAAAAACATATGAGAAGTGAGTGTTACAAATTAAAATATAACTTATACGTTGTTTTACATTATTTTGAATATTAAAAAATAACTAATGTGTTGTCTTACACCATTTTGAAACTTAAATAATTACAAGACAACATGCTAAGTAGTAGATAATCTAAATATTGTCAAAAGTATTGTTATAATGTTATAAACCAATACATGCATAGACCAAAAAATATATGAATAATTTTTGTCCATTTTCATCATGAACTAGTAATCTATCTATATATATCACTACAAGTTTAATTCACTCTTACAGATCGTGCACACTTCATATTTTTTTGGAATTGCGAAATGAATAATTTTGGAGAATGTATGTTCATTATGAGGTTCGTTCAGCTATAGTAGGTCATACATGAAAGATACATGTGATTTTGTAGGGGGCTGCTGTAAAAGATCTGAATTTCTACATTCTATTAAAGTGAGTGAAAGGTGAATAGAATGGAATGATGGGAAGCTGTGAAACTACATTCCTATGCGCAAGCTATGAAATTATATACGTTGTTCTTTATTTATTTTAGAGAACTGATAGTTTCTTGGTTGTGGATTTATCTGAATGAACTAACATGTTTCTATTGGAGTACTTGTCAAACAAGGTAATAGGAATAAAGAATAATGAATAAATTTAGAGTGAAGAGAGATTATTTTTGTAACAATGATGGTATATTTCATTCATATTTCTCAAAATAGAATTTACAACATTTATATAGCATTTTGATTAAGCAACCAACCTAACTAACTAACCACTTATTAGTTAGTCGGTTTAAACTACTAGACTTAGTACAAACTCACTAACTAAACTATATACTTGCACAAGTGCATAGTATGTATGTGAAACTAACCACTTCGTTGATATATTTTGTTGATATATCAGTAGAGGTGTATAGTCAAACTACTTCTCTGAACTACTAAAACAGAATTACAATACAATAGTTTCACATTTAACTATTTATCATTATTTATTTTTTCACTCTTTGACTTAATACTTGTGTTGTGAAATATAGTATGCAGGAACGTCTTGGCTAGAGCTGAATTATACAAGGCAAGTTGTTGAGTTTTTGGTATAAACACTGCATTTGTTTGGTTGAACAATTAGCATTGTCAAATAACGTTGCTATCTCCTATTTATGTTTTCCTTTGTTTGAACTTTACAGGTAATAAATCAAGAGAAAATATTATTAGAAGAATTATTATAATGTTATAAACCAATACATGTATTGTTATGTTTTTATCACTATCTGTTAGATTATGTATGTATTGGTTTATGCATGTATTGGTTTATAACATTATAACAATACTTTTGACAATATTTAGATTATTTCATGCTTAGTATGTTGTCTTGTAATTCTTTAAGTTCAAAATAATGTAAAACAACACATTAATTATTGTTTAAGATTCAAAATAGTGTAAAACAATGTATAAGTTATATTTTAATTTGTAATACTCACGTCCCATATGTTTTTAAAATGTAACAATAAAGTCTTTTCAGTTAAAATAAAATAAAAAATAAAAATAAAGTAAAGTAAATAAAAATAAAAATATAAAAAAATTATAAAAAAAAATAAATTCCACGTGGAATTATAAAATAAATATAAAATAAAATAACACATTGTTTGTTAGAGCATCTTTAGTGGGAGTATCTTACGTGGGTAAACTAAGATATTTTTTGTGGGTCCAAAGTGATTTGTAGGATTTAAAAAATTTATAGTTGATTTAAGTTGTTTTTACTTTAATGATAGTTGCTTATAAAAAACTAAAACTTGACCATATATTTTATATTTTTTAATTTAAGTTAAATGTCATGTCATTGTCATTCTTTAATGATAATTGTAATTACAAGACTTTAATAATATAAATAATAATATTATATGTTTCAAAATAAATAGCATGCGTTAACTATATAATTACCGGAAACTAAAAGTTCGTGAATTAAATGTTATATCATAGTCATTTCAATGCAAATTTTTTATAATCATCGTTAACTATAAAAAATTTAACTTTAAAAACTTGCATTAAAAATGTTCTTAAATGTCACATATGTTCCATTTGTGCCACATAGGCTTTTTTAAAACGGAGATTTTTAAAAAGATCAACGACGCAAGCGTTATTTAACATAAATGACCAAAGTGTTAAAAAACTTTAAAAACTAATTTAATATTTTAAAATAACTTAAAAAATATAGACAATATTTTTGCCTATATTTTTCTATTACCGGGATGTATTCGTTACCAATATTTCACTTAAATGTTATAAATTTGTTTAGAATGCTCACACATTAGTCTTAAACTTGAATAAGTGATTTTTTTACTGGCGTAGAATAGGAAATCTTGTATAATGTTTGGTGCTGAATAGTTTGAGGGTTTGTGTGACTTACAAGAAGCAAAGAAATATGCTATTCTGCGTCAGAAACTACTACTATTTCTTCACTACAAAACCTATTGGGTGTAGATTTGTTGATTTAACACAATGGGAAGAGAAGCTTATAGGAAAGACATTCTTTTATCTCTTGAACTCTCTTACATGTAAATTGTTTTGCTGAGCGTCAGAATGTGGGGCAATTCCTTTTCCCTTGCTGTCATCTACATTTAATGACCCAAAAAATTATAAAATATTTGAAATTTCTAGTAAAAAAGTTGTTCACCTAACTTGAAGGTGAATGTTGATTTTGATAACTCTGTCTCTTTTCTTACAACATACAAGGCATAAAACATTCCTGAAATGTAGGTTACTACAAACAAGATAGTATTACACTACACAACAAGATGACAACGTCCAACAAAACCATAAAAACAAAGTCTAACAACAATTTTAGCCACTTAACTCTATAAATTGCATATTTAATCTGATAGCTCATGCAGCCTCAGCTTCTACAGGCTTCAATAAAGTTGGAGTTGGTTTTACAGCAATGCTTCTCTTCCACTTTTTATCTAGCTTTCTGGACAACCTCTTACTAATACCCTCCTCAATCTCTCTTTCCCGCTTTACAGTAAGCAAGCGAGCAATCTGTATTGATATTAACAGTTAGCATCCATCCAAAAATTACAAAATCAAGAAACGTAAGCATTTATGCAGACCCTGAAAAAAGGATCTTTACATGTCAGTAAAGTTCTTTAGTATCATCTGAAGTTATACCTTATTAGGTCATATTAAGAACTATAAATAAATGAGAATGGACCAGCATGACCATTTGAAATCTCTCCATTCAAAGAACTAGGCCTAGTTCTTTTCTATTGTTTGCATATCGTGTTTTCTCCATGGAATCAAAGCACCCTAAATCCTAGTGCTCTGCTTTGCTGCCAACTTAATCCTAGCACTCCCTCTTCCCAAATCAGTTTTTTATCTGCGGGACGTGGACACTTGTAATAAAATGATGATGAGCCAAATCACAGCCCTCCAATTATTAGGGTGTATTGCAGAAGGTAGAAAAGGAGCAAGGGTAGTAGAATAGAAAACGAGATAGAAACAGTGGAGGAAAGTGTGTTACTAGTGAATGGGGTTTGGATATGCTGGGTCCTACAAAAAACCTGGCAGTAGGGGAAGGCAATGGGAGATACGGGAATCAATGGACACTGCTGTGAATATGAGTGAAAGGATGGAGGGGTGGAGAGATAGGAGATCACTTCCATAAATGTGGGGTGGCAGGCAACTGCAACAGAGCAGATATGTTTTCCTTAGTTTTTTGTCTTTCTATACACACATGGCATTCTAATCAGGCCTAGTTCTTTGAATTACTCCTTCTATCTCTAAAGCCAAATCCAGTTCTGATCAGAGAATCTCAGTAAAATGAGTGGAGATAGTTAATTAAAAAAACGGAAGTGGAAAAAGAAAGAATAATTGAACTTTATTACGGGTCTAATGCAATCCCCACAAAATCCAAAATATGGGGACAGGAGGGCGCAGAGTCCTTTCAATCAAAGTGTGAGAAGAGGCTGCAATGCAAGGCACATTTGGGAGTGGAGTCATGTGGCACTATGCTCAAATCCAAATAACTAAAGTCAAAGACATTTGCACACTAGTTTACCTAAAAAGTTAAGTATGCTAAACTGCATTGCATCTTGCAAAACTTTAAAATCACATGGAAGTTACAAAAGGACCGGCCGATCATGCAAATGGCAAACCAAGCTCAAGTATTATGACAAATAGAATTTCTCAGTATGCATCGATATCTGTTTCAGTATTCTCGTAAATTTATGTCAGCCATCAGAATCAAATGAAACGGTACAAAGGTCAATTCAGTCAATAAATGGCATAGATCCAAGCCTTTTTGTTTGGTCAATCGCCATAGGATGAGGAAACCACCCACATCAGTTCCTTTTCCCTCTGTCACGGAAACAATGAGAAATAGTTTTGCTTGAAGGGTTTTCCCTCATTTTAGATCAGGACCCTAACCACCTAATGTGTCTATTATTTTCTCTATTGCATCATTACAAGTCATTGGATCAATTCAACTGTTCAAATATTAATCAAGAACAGAATAATAACCTAAAGAGAAAACATACCTGCTTGCGCAATTTCCGAAATTTGCTGTAATTGAAGCCATCGTTGCTATTAGATTTCTCAACTCTAAGCAGGACTAAGTCGCCTTTTAGGTTAACAACCTCTTGGTTGATTTGTTCATTGGTTAAATTTCTAATTTCCTTCAACTGCTCTTCTCTCTTTGCCATCATCACTGGGACCAAAGCGGTGCGTTTCGTCGCTGGAACTGTGCAAGTGCTGGGTTGACGTAGTCGAAAGCCATTGAAGGAGGTTTTGAATTGTAATGGTTTGGGAAGAAAGGAAAGTGTTGAAAAAGATGGTGAAGTAACGGAGAGGCTCAGCATTTTGTTTCCGCGCTCTCTTGTTTATCGTATGTAATGAGTGTTGAAGATAATATCCACACCCTATCTATCCCTCTTCATCTTTTATGAGCACGACTTTTTTTTTTTTTTTTTTTTTTTTTTTATTCTCGTCATTTTTTTTTTAAATTTTATAAAGGATAATTATTTAAATAAATAAAATGGTTTTGAAAACCGTTATAAAAAAATTTGTATTTTTTGAAAAAAAAAAGTTTTTTTATTTAGATAGTTTTTTTTTATGATATCAGAAAGATTTACACTCTAGCGATCAAATAATTGAGAGAAATCATAAGTAATTTGTGAATGAGAATGAATTTGAATACATGAAATTGTGAGTTTCTCTTATATATCAAGAGTGATTGAAACCGTTCGCATGTGATGTTGAGGAAAAAATATTTTTTGATGTTTTGAATATGACAAACTTTTGTGTAAATATAATTAAGATTTTGATTTTATTTGTTATTTGATGTGTGCTCTTTAGTGGAAATTAATAAGACATGCATGTGTAAATGTTATCATCAATGGGATGCGAGAAGAAATGGTTCTCAATTTTATTATTAAACTTGTTACAAGAAAAGATGATCATATGTTTGAAAGGAACATAAAATACCAAGCGTGTCAAAGAAATAAGTCACACAATGGCATTATCGTAATTCTGCACTACTAAAGAGGATCAGTTTTTGAACAAATGGCAAAGCTTTAGTTATTCTAGAGGATCAAATTATAACTAATAAATTATACTAGTGACATTTTCGTAAATACATAAATCAATTGAGGATCAAGAAACACAACATGAGTATTAGTTTCTCTCAATGATAATGTTATAAATAAACTATCTTCTCGTTTACAGTATCAATGACAAAATCGTAAATACCAATGGCATACATGTAATTTCAAGTATATACTCAGAGCAAATCTGGTACTCAAGAAACTAGAGGATCAAAACATCTACCAATAGCCATTCACATTCTCTTCATTTCAAGACAATCATTCAAGGAAAACTCGAGAGAAATATTCATGAAATTCTTCCAAAAATCATATTCTCACTAAAATCATATTCTTATAATCAAGGATATTCCTTTCTAAGAATATTTTTCTTAAAATCACATCATTTGTTCAAGGAAAAATTAAGAGAGAAAACACAATCATACAATGAAAATTCAAAAGAGAAAGTTCATCATATTCTTTCAAAATTATATTCTCACTAAAATCATAATCTTAGAATCAAGGATCTCTACTTCTAATATTATTTGTTTTAAAACAACATCCTCTCAATAATCATTTGTGAAAGTGTTAGGTTGATGTAGCCGAATGCCATATTGAAGGAGGTTTTGAATTGTAATGGTTTAGGAAGAAAGAAAGTGTTGAAGAAGATGTTTGTACCCTATCTATCCCACTTCATCTTTTATAAACACGACTCCTATTTTATTTTATTTTTTTATTCTCATAACTTTTTTTCTTTATAAAATGTAATTATTTAATTAAATTAAATGGTTTTTAACAACGGTAATAAAAAAGTTTGTATTTTTTTACACAAAAAAAGTTTTTTATTTAGATTATTTTTTGATGATACCAGAAGATGTTTGAAATGTTAGCACTTAAGTGATCAAATAATTGAGAGAAATTAGAAGTAATTTGTGAATGAGAATGAATTTGAATACGTGAAATTGTGAGTTTCTCTTATATATCAAGATTGATTGAAACCATTCACATGTGATGTTATGTTTTATGCAGACAAGCGTCTAATTAAATTGGACGAGGGTTGATGCATTGTAGGACATAATTTTCTACTTCTAGCTAGAGTGAACATCTACCTATTGCGTGCCCCTTTCCACTTTAAATTCGCTCTTGGCCTTTTATCCATGGGCCTTGCGAACAACCCAGACAATCCCATCAAGCCCTTGTTCTTATTTTGTAGAATTAGGGTTTTTTCGTTCACATCCTTAGGTCGTTTATTAATTGAAGTAAGTTAAAAGTCTTTATGGAACATCACTAGTACGAGTTAGAAATCGAAGATATGAAGGGTTGACTGTTGGATGAAAGGTTTTCTCACAGTTCCTCTTTTAGAACAAGCTCACATGATTGTATTGTTCTTTAGTTTTTCCTTCTATATGGTGTTCTTCTCTATATTAACTTCTCATTTGTCGTCGTTTATTGTTGTTTCTTTAGTTTTGTGTTTTGTTGTTCATTTATCACAGTGGGGTTGATTTTATTTTGACATAACTTTGTGTTAGGTTTTCTGTTCTCTGTTCTTTTATCACTCCTACTTTGTTGTTGTTTTTTGGTTTTGTGTTTTATGTTGTTTTATCATTGTGAGGAGTAATTATTTTTTTTTGGAAGAGAATTTGGTTGTTGGCCTAAATGGGTTCATTAGATTGTCAAGTAAATGAAATTGAGTCATCCTAGCATTTTTAAGTGGTGTTGTTCAGTTTATTCTGGTTGTGTGGATTTGGCTTTGTTTTTTGGTGGATTTTTGAGAATTGCTCTAAACGTTTAGTATTTGAGACATTGAAATTGAAGTTTGAAAGAAGCTACATTGTTAGGTCCCACTACAACGCTAAACTTTCAGTTCAACTCTTTTCCTAAATGGCTTGCATGAAATTGGGGTCCAAAACGGATGCATTACAGCAGCAAGGCTTGTTGCTCTTTGAATTATAATTTTATTGTTACTATTTTAATTTTTGTTTTGTCTTCAAGTGTGATTTTCTTTGTTCAACTGTGTGTTTGTGAAGTTTAGGATTTGGATTAACATGTTTGTCTATTGCCATGCTGAACTATAGTGAATGTATATAGTTTGAATAGATGATTTTGTCAAGGATATATACTCTTATTTGTATTGCTTGATATACTATTTTATATCGAATCAGATATTGGTGTACAAAAATGCTTAATGAGTTCTTTCTTTACTTTTTAATTTGATATGATTTAGTTAATATTATATATGTGCATCGAAATCCTGTAATTTGTGCCCTTTCATAGAAAACAGACTTGTCAATGAAGATTAAGACTGTGATTATTCATTTGAATATCTACATGGTTGGTGAATTCTTTGTTGAAACTGTGTCACCTTATTATCATAGATTTTGCACTACGGGACTTCCCAACGACATAGTTGTTGAAGTATGACGTGTCTTTCTATCTTCACAAGGTATAGGTTAATATATTTCTTTATAATATCTTATTGATGCACTACTTAAATTTCGTGTTTAATTTTTATGAAGATTTTGCTAACTTAAAATTCATTAAAGTAAATTTGCATGACGACGGGATAATAGAGTTTTTCTGTAGTACATATGTTTATTGTGTTATGAAGTCTACTATCAACTTATAATTAATTTCAAAATACTCGATATTTCTATTGCTAGAATGTAATTGCAATTAGAAATGTTTGTGCCCTAGTACTTGAAACTGCACCACTCTTATTGCGTCTTTGGCCATTACGTAAATGAAATATGGTGAACGGTAATATGTAGTTCCATTTTCATTCATATATTGTTAATCCAATATTTCATTTTTCATTTTTCCTAAATAGTCTTTCAGCTAAATTAATACAGTCTCAATATTTTGTATACATGCTTTTGTGAACATATAAATAAGCTAACTCGAATTACACATTTATTACGGTTCTCTTTGCTCTCAAGAAATGGGGTTTTGGAGAGATTGATATCCAAAGCTTCTGATTCAGAAGAAAAACTCCACAAGGTGAAAAGGTGCATTGAACCACTTACAACAATGGCATTTACTAAGCCAAATTTATTTGGGTGGCAGGTACTAGAACTTTGTGGTCCTTTGCAGAGTCTTGGTGGAAATGTTTTGTGGAACCACGTGAGTATCAAGGAAAGACCAATGAATACAAGTTTAGATTGGTGGTGTGAGGATGTTACAAATCCTCAAAGTGATTTAAAATATTGAAGGTGATTTAAAATATTGGTGGTAGATTGAACTTAACTTACATGTTAATCAATTTATTTCGGTTTGTACGATTCTTGAACAAATACTAAAGGTGATTTAAAATCACTTGCTAAGTAACTATGAAGTAAAATTTTGGAGTATTTTGATGTACTCTTGAAACTTGTTCCGTTGTGGAACCAGAAATGGAGATGATTGCAGAAACTATAATGGAATGGAGCTTTGGTGTTCTTTGAGGAGTAGTGGAACTCGGATCTTTGGTTGGTGTGGACCTTGGGGTCCCGGATCTTGGTTGACATTGACCGGTAGGTTTCAGGTCTTTGGACGACATGGAACAGTTGCCCATAAGACTCGTTGGACATGTTTGATGTTTGGGGAGTCTTTTAGTAATAGTGGCAGCCCATGATGGATTCTATCCATGCATCGACCGGCATACGCCGCTTTGGTTTTGCCAAAGTGTGATGTGAATGTGAACATCGAATGTAGTCCTATCATTGAAGCGTTTTGCCATTTTTCTACTACATGTGACTTGAAAAGGTATGGGTTGACATGACACAAGTTTTTATGTACTTGAGTACTCTTGAGTGTGATTGTCTTCTCCATATAAAACCTGACTGTTGATCTCTCCTTATTTCATGCTTTTGATCTGATCCATTCAATTGCCTTTGCATATATAAAGATAGAGAGAGGATGTAGGAAAATGTTTTTAGTTCTTCCCCAGATTGATATTCTCTTTCCTTTTCAAGTTTTTACCTCTTGTTTGCGATTACTTCCCAGAGTAACCGATATCACGCGTTCACAAATTTGAAGGGCTAAAGCTTCAGTTTTTTATCTTCCTTTCTGATTTCAGAGCTTTTGCCTTCCTATTTCAAGGTGCCTTTTCTTCTTCTAAACTTTTACTCGAGTTTTTTTCGCTATTTTCATTACAGTGAGTGGTAACCCTGCATTTTCAAGTTTTTATCACATTTTCATTTCTGCTTTTCTTCTGTCAGACGACGCCCCATCCATGAACACTTCAGAATCGTAGTTCTATATAGATTATGATGGGAGTGGAAACCTTGCTGAGAGACTGATGC